ATGGCTGATTGAGCCCACTCCAAATAATTTGACCCATCAAATCTCATAGTTGTAATATGAAACCCGGTTTCAGATACACTACCATAACTGTGGTTTCCAAAACTAATTTCTCCCTGACCCTTAAACTCCATCATTGGTCAAGATTCAGTGGCTACAAACTGTTAGAGTCACTATACCAGAAAACAGAGTCAAACAAGCAGGTCTGAAAWCTGATCCGAAACCAACACAAATCTGATCTGATCTGAAACCAACCCAAATCTGATCTGAAATCAATCGCCTATCACAGTATAGGCAAGGAATCAACTCAAATCTGATCTGAAATCAATCGGCATGCACAGTATTAGTCAGCCTGTCAATCTAAGATGCTATTTTCTGAAATCACTACTGTGGGGCCCACTGCTGCAAGAGCAAAATTAGGGTTTCAACTGTGGGTCTGAAATAAGTGCTCAACTGCACCCTCCAAGCAGTCCGCACTAGTGGGACTTGTCGTAGGGCAATATGAAACCCTAAAACTAATCACCTTTGAGAGGGAAGAGGTTCGGGCCAACAGTCAAACCCTAGAAACAGACTTAAACACAGTTCGGCAAGTCAAACCCTAGAAACAAACTTGAACACAGTTTGGCCCCTACTCCCCTACTTCTAGATAGGTCCAACCTATCTCGACTGATTGCAGTCTCTGAAACTCAATAAAAAAAATTTACTTATGTACCTCGGTTTGCTGTCTTCTAGGGTTACCTGAACCCTAACCTTCGTTGCTTCTTCCTGATTACCAACTCTCTGCAAGCTGCGGCAAGTCTTCAATTGCTGCAAACCTCTCCTGGTAATCTCCAAGATTCAGCCATCGAATACTTCTTCAAAGCTTCCAGCCCTAGCTAGTCCTCATGTGGTCGGCTGGACTAGACACACATGAGARGCCCTAGATAGGCTCTGATAGCAAGTAGAAGATCAAGACTGTAATCAGTCTTGAACCCTAATAGGTTTTAGGTTTACAAAACAGAAGAAAAGTGAGAGAAAGGAGAGAGAATAGAAGAGAAACAGGAGAACACAAGTGGTTGAAAGGAGGGACA